GACTTGTTGCCAGAATCTTGTGCAGCGTTTTTTTTTTTCAAATAAAAGTATGACTGGTTTAGTAAATTGGTAGGTTTAAAATGTTGCTGCTTTTTTACACAAAAGTAGTGCCTTTCCTGGATATTTAAGAGGCAAATGTATTCTTGCATATAAATTTGAAAGTGCAAGCGCCTGTTATGAAATGATACACATTTTTAAATGAACAGTCATTTCTTCACTAAGTTATTGCCTTCCAAAGTTTTTATAACCTTAAGTGTTAAATATATCTTTACTCAAAAACCAATTATATTGTCATGTATTAATAAGAAGAAAATCTTTATCATGTCTCAGTTACTCTTCTCTCGTTGCTGAACAAATAACCGACACCCAAAATGAAGGAAGGGAAGGTTTACTTAGCTCACAGTTACTGGAGGTTTCAGTCTGTACTCAGCTGGCTCCAAGTCAGAGCGGCACACGGCAGAGAGACCCTTCATGGCAGCGGCAAAGAGCAGAGAGCAAAAGAGAGAAGCAGCAGCAACAATGGCTAGAGAGGAAGTCTGTCTCCCCTAAATTGCGTTCAGGCCCTCCACCCCAGGCTGGGGGCAACATTCACACCCGTAATCCCAGCAGTACTCAGACCCATAATCCCAGCCTTGGATCATGAATTAATCGCACACTGTAGAACTGTACCTCAGTGACTGCATGAGGCTTTGCGGGGACAAATACACACAAACCATAACATGGAATATATATTCCTGTAAGTCTGTACAGATCATACACCTAATACCTGTCTGTAAGAAAGCCTTGAATACATTTTTTTTTTTTTTTTTTTTTTGTGGAACGGGGGATTGAACTCAGACCCTTGTACTTGCCAGGCAAGCACTTATTCTACTGAGCCGTCTCCTCCGCCCCCATAAATTGTATTTAGAACACATGTATTTAGTTCAAATTTTGTGTCTGAACGTCGTTCATGTTATAAAAATGTTAACTGAGCTGGGGAGATAGCTCAGCGGTCTAAGCACCTGCCTGGCAAGTGCAGGGACTGGGATTCAATCCCTACTACCACAAGCCTCGCTGGCCCCACCTCTGGGCATGCAGAGCTGGCCACTGAGTCTGGGCATGATGGTGCACACCTGTAATCCCAGTGCTGGGGAGGCTGAGAACAGGAGGATCACTTCGAGTCTCATCTGCATAGCTAAACCCTGTACCAAATACACAAATTATAACAAATAAGTAATTAAAAGTGTTTAACTGGAAAGACTGCATGTATGTTTTCTTTTTGTTTTTTGTTTTCTATTTTTGTTGTTGTTTAATGACCCTATATGCTTAATAGCTGTACTAAAATTGTGGAAAGAGCAGGAACTTGGAAGTTTCTCACAGATGAGTAGTTAATTTAGTGCTTCTGTTGCATGAAGTATGATCTTCTGTGTGGGTGGCTTTATAGGCTTGCTATGTAAATAGAACAAGGGTCACCTAGATGCCTTTATACACACAGGCGATAATCTTAGTGATGTATCTGTTGGCTATCTTTTTGCTTATGTCATGTAAATACAGACTGGGACAGGTCTTCCAAAAGATACTATTAAGCACCTCTTTTTTGGGCAGACCTTATTCAGAGGATTAAAGCAATTAACCTTTTACTTTTGAAACATTTACCATTCAGAGTCAGCGATATTGCTGTTTTGAGGTTAGGTTTGATATTGTGAAAATAAATGTGACTTGGATCTCATGTTTTCTAATCTTATTTTACAAATGGATGATTAAGAAATTATGCATAAGATAATTTAACTATTATGAGTATACCATCTGCACACACTTTTGGGTATATTCTGCATACAATGTTTATTCATATTTTCCTTCCTAGTCTTTTTGTTTTACGAGAATCTCGATTTCCTATTGACATGATTGTTTATGTGAAGCAATCTTCCTGTTGCTTTCTTTTGTTGCCTTTATTCATGACAAAATGTCAATGTGAGAATATGTTAACAAAGAAGCTGAGTGTACTGACTGTTATATTACAGAGAAATCTTTATCTTCAAGGCATAAGCAATTCAAAGGAGAACTGATTTTTTTTTTTTTTTTTCCCAAAGGGACTTTTTTTGGTCTTATTTTTACTATTTTCTTTTTTGGTTCCAGGAGTCGAACTCAGGGCCTCGCGCTTACTAGGCAGGCGCTGCGCCACTGAGCCACATCCCCGGCCCTCAAAGGAGAACTGATTTTAAAAGCAGCAAATAGAATCACAATACTGTTTAAGCGTTTGGCAAGAAAGAAAAAAATGCTTCAAAGAAAGAAAGAAAGAAAGAAAGAAAGAAAGAAAGAAAGAAAGAAAGAAAGAAAGAAAGAAAGGCCAGGAATGGGTAAGCAAAGTCTGGGAAGTGGAGATGCAGCACTTCCATGCCCCAACCCCTATGTTCAGCAACTGAGAATCTTATCCATTCCTGTTTTATTTATTTTATTCTATTTTTTGCGATACCAAGGATTGAACTCAGGACCTTGAGCTTGCCAGGGAAGCGCTTATTCTACTGAGCCATCTCTCCGGCCCCATTCTTGTTTTAGAAATCTGTTTTTTTTTTTTTTTTTTTAAACTCCATGGCCAGCATCTGCCATCCTCCTTCCCCTACACTGGCAAGTGGGGCCAAGAGTATCAGGTCTCTAGTCAACAGTTTGGCGACTGACCCCACCCTAAGTTACCTCATTAGCATAAACTCAGGGGTTATTAAAGCGTTCACTCTATGTAACAAGGGTTCACTGTATATTCCAAAAGTTTTAGGAGGTCTGTGACAGGAATCAGGAACAAAGATAAAATAATTATATCACAGCCATTCTATTCACTCATCACAGGAGACTATGAAGGTAGTGTAAGACCAAGGTCTTAGCATACCTAGCTCAGAAAAGATATTGGGGACAGGGTTCTAAAGCTTCTGTAAAGTATAAGGAAGGGTGTGTGTATAAAAACTGACTTCCTATTCCCAAATCCTGCAAATAATCTCTTGTTATCATGATACAGGGGAATGAAACTCTCAACCTAAAAGGTACCTGGGATGAGTTCGTGTTCTCTAAAACCAAAGAATGAATTTTAGGAACAAATGGCAGTCAAGAGCAGAACACTTATTGGGGGAAAGAAAGCTTCTGACCGAGAGAGGGACAGAAGGGGGACCAGAGCAGGTTACCCCAGGAAGTTACCATTCCCAGGGCTTTTTGTAGAGTAAAACCATGCAGATCTAATGTGAAGAATATGGGAACTCATTTGTGGGCATGAGGTGGGACAAAACTATTGTCAACCAATAAGGTTACAAGCACCATTGCTCTGGTAAAATTGATTAAATCCAGGACCAAATTGGAAAGGAAGTCACATAGCAAGCAGGCATGAATATAGAACAGGACCTTATCCAGTAGCCAGCCAGTAGTGGTTGGATTAGTGACTCTTCGTGGCTTCCTCAAGGTGATGATCAATCCCGGATGCTTATCTTTAGGGAGGTCAGCCTTTGTTTGATCTTTAGTTTTTAGGTCTGGCCCACAGCAGGGGCATCCATCTCTCTCATAGTTGCAAGGTGTCTGGTCTTCTATGCTGTATCCTTGAGGGCCTGGCCCTGCCTGACTGCCTATAATATTTCTATCTAATTCTGCTGCCTACAACAGTCAGAGAGATTCTCAGATAAATCTGGCTTCAATAAATAACTAGGATATTTTATTGTTAAGGCCTGAGAGCTATGATATCAAACAGGATGAAATCTTTGTAAAAGGATTTCAAACAGACCCCAAGATACAACTTCACTATCTTCTACCATTTTCAAATTTGTCAAATACTGTCCCCTTGGAAGAGTCTCCTGGCGTCTCTCAAAGATTTCAACTGCACTTTCCCAACCCTATGTACTTAATGTTATGGGTCACTCAGAATAGGAACCAGATCAACCAGATTGGAATTTGGAAAGCTGTTTATTACTGAGCTCAGGGCCCCCCAGTCTGCTCTCACGCAGGAGAGGACCAAAAGGCGGCAGCCCAGGAAGCAGGAAGGGGTTTTAAACCCTGGAACCACATTGAGTTTGATAAGCAAATTCATTGAATAACCACATTCAGTTTGGTAAACAAATTCATTGTCTGACACAAAATAATGCTTTCAGAGTGATTGGGACCACAACTCAAACTACATTTCTGGGGCTTTTGTTCCAGTTTCTGGTTAATTTGCACCTGAGTACCTGCTGGCAGCCTTGCATAGCCCGGAGGTTACAAGAAGTTAAAGCCTATTTAATTTCCTTTTGAAGTCATCTCTGTAAGCTAACTTTGGTAACAGGAATTGGTGAGGGTTACAGGAATTTTATCTTAGCAAAGAGCAAGAAACAGCCACTAGTTACTAAACAACTTAGAACAGTGGTGAGTATATATTTACAACAGAAAGCACAAGATTTACATTTTTAATCTAAAACGTGAGTTGACTCATTACACTTAAAGGTTGGTAAAGGGACAATATAAGAATCTAATCAAGACAGGTATTCCAGCGCTGAGGTAACCTTGACGACAAAATATGAAACCGTCCTCTTGTATCAAAATACAGAGCACAGCCTCAGGGGGAAAGATCCAGTCGGAAGAGCCAATCTCAAGAGAAAACTGGCATATGTATGGGCATCTGCTTCCAAATCTGGGCTCAATGAACAGCTCCACGTGACCTGAGGCAGGAGAAGAAACCTTGGGTATTCACTTTTTAGAGGCAATTAGAGCCCTGACAGAAAGGGACACAGCTGAAGAAAAGACACAAGGTGCTGTGAGTGTTCCTCACTCCCAGACAGGCTTGGATAACACGCAGGAGACTTTAGGTTCGGTCCTCAGCACCGGGAAGAGAAAGGAATAAAGTAAGGAGGGAAGGGGGGAAAGGAAAGGAAGACAAAAAGAAAAGAAAGGGAGTAAGAGGGACGCGCCCGAAGCCCGCCCCGACGCCACGCCCGACGCCACGCCCCCGACGCCACGCCCCTTGCGCCCGCCTCTGCCAAGCCGCTTCCGGCGGAAGAGGCGCGCCCCCGTGGCCCGCTGCGCCTGCGCAGTCGACGCGTCGGCCCGGCGCAGTGCGTCAGCCGCCGCCGTGGGCTCCTTATGGCCCTGAGTGTGCGCCCTGAAGCCGGGAAGATGGTGCTTGATCTGGATTTGTTTCGAGTGGATAAAGGCGGAAACCCAGACCTCATCCGAGAAACGCAGGAGAAGCGCTTCAAGGACCCGGGACTCGTGGACCAGCTGGTGAAGGCAGACAGTGAGTGGCGACGATGTAAGTGTCGGGATGCGCAGGGCAGCCCCCGCTCCTGGCCGGAGCTGCAGCTTCTCACTCCGAGCGCCACTTCCCAGGGCCTCTGGCTCTCGTCAGATCCCCCCTCGGGCTCCGGCGGCGCCGAACTTCTCTGTATTCCCGAACCGGGCCTGGCGCAGGCTCGTCCCACTTTGCCTCCCGGCGGCAGTCCTTTCCGCGCGTGCTTGAGGCTGGAAATGCGCACGGCGCATGCGCGTCGAGAGCTGTCAAACCTTCCGGTCCCTTGGGTAGCCCGGGGAAGGCCGTGGCAGATTGGCTTGGGGTCCCTTTCCTAATAGTTGCTTTGGTCGTCTTCTGCCCTTTTCGCAACCTGAGCAAGGTCAGGATGGCCTCCGTACGTCTTGATAGGATCGAAGGCTACTGTCTGACACAGACAGCTACAACAAAATGAGTTAACTCCTCCCATATTGAAAGCATTTGGGGACTTGCAAGCCACTCCAGACCAAGAGCAGTGATCTCGGGCCTCCGAGGAAGCCCGTCTTGTGACCGAGTGACATATCTTTTAAGAACCAGAAAAGCCTTTAATTAAATTAAAGGTAAATTAAAACTGGAGGAGAGGGGCATGGTGATGCAGGAAAAAAACTTGTAATTATTGAGGTGGTGGTTTCTGGAAGTTCGGAAAAGACATCCGCAGAGTTGGAGTATAACCTAGAACCGAGCCGGGCATCTTACATAAAGCTACATAAAACCGTTGGACATTCTGCCTAGGTTAGCTGCAGTTGTCACTGGCTGACGGTGTTGTCTAGAACATGTGATTCGTTTTGTCTGATGCAATAAGCCTGCAACCAGCTGAGAGCCGGATTTATGACAGCACACTGCAAAGGCAGTTCCTGTCCAAGAGCGTGATGGATAGCTCTTAAGAACATTGGTTTTCTTAAGTTTTTAAGGGCATTGGGTGCAAAAGGAATATTTATTTAGCTTGAGTTACCTGCTGATTGTACACCCCTTAGGTATTCTCATGTGGTGGCTTGTGAGATTCATCTGAAGTTTTAAAATGGAATGATAACTTGCCACATTTATGTTTAGGATAAATATGGAGTGAGCACTATTGCACCGAGTCAGATTTTATTAGTCCAGCCGTTGGTCAGCTGCTAAATGACTTTTAAATGTGTTAGCCTATCCCCTGTGTATAATGTACATATGTGAGTATGAGGTTTGTCCTTTATTTGACGAATGGGTATGTGGCCAGTTATTTAGGGACAAAAATTGAATATATACGTATGTATCATATATGTGCACATGTATATCAGAGGAAAAGATGACAACAATTTGAATTTATTTATTTATTTTAGCAGAACTGGGCATTCCTGGTTCTCAGGCCCTTGTGCTTGCCAAGCAAATGCTTAGTCTACTGAGCTATCTCCCCGGCCACAACAATTTGAATATTTCAGTTGCCTTTATTTTGCAATTTTAGAAATGAATTGGGGTCTGGGGAGATAGGTGGCTATCTAAGTACCTGCCTGGCAAGCACAAGGACCTGAGTTCAATCCCTGGTACCCCATGCCTGGTGGCTCATGCCTGTAATCCCAGTGCTGGGGAGACAGAGACAGGAGGGTCACTGTAGGTCTGAACTACATAGTGAAACCCTGTATCAAATAAAAATAAAGAAATGAGTAGCGTTTTATTCTTTAAGATTAAAATATGTATTCCATGAGCTGAGTAGAAGAGATAGGTTTGGTTTGGAGACAGGGTCTCACTTTGTAGTTAGGCTGGCCTTCAATTCAGTAGGTAGTCCAGGCTGGCTTCAAACTCGTGGTGATCTTCCTGCCTCAGGCTCTCAAGTGCTGGGATTACAGATGTGTGGCGCCACACCTCGCTCCGAAGAGGCAGGTTTGCTGAGAAGGGATGAAAAGAGCAGAAACATGGGAAAAGGGAATGAGCTTACTCGAAAGCGTTACTAAGTTGAGAAGAACAGCAGAGGGAGAGGGGGAAAGAGATTTATCTATGTATGTAAGCAGGGTGGTTCGGACAACTGTACTGTGCATTTCTGCTGGTCTATGGAAGAAGCAGTTAATGACTTCATTTGTTTCGCCTCCTTTTTTCAATTGTTTGTACTTCTTACTTCTTATACATTTATTTCTTTTTTTCTTGTTCCAATTTTATTTATTTATTTTTGTGGTACTGGGGATTGAACTCAGGACCCTGCACTTGCCAGGCAAGCACTTATTCTGCTGAGCTATCTCCCCGGGCCCTCTTGTTCCAATTTTACATGCATATATCTGGTAATATCAGTAACTGGTAGGAAGACAACACTGTGTATTACAACAAATAGTGTGAAATTCATTTTACTTTGTTAAGTGAAATTCTGTATCACTTGTATTTTTTTCAGTTTTACTTGTAATTTGTACTCTCTTTATTTTTTTTTTTTTTTATTTATTTTTTATTTTTTTGGCGCCGAATGATCTCAGGGCAGGTTTGGCTGGCTTGAGTTGTGGGGATTGAACCACAGCAACCTGAGTCTGACTGCTTTGTTGAAGCAACCACTTAAAGAACTGAGCTAAGGGGCAGGCCCCCTTGTACTCTCTTTAAAAAGAAGAAGAAAAAAAAAAAATATATATATATATATATGTGTGTGTGTGTGTGTGTGTGTGTATGTATATTTAATACAGGGTCTAACGACATAGATCGAACTCGTAGTAATCCACCTGTGTTCATCCTCCCAAGAGCTGGGATTACAGGTGTGCATCAGCACGCCCAGTCTCAATCTTGGTCTCCCCAGGGGTGGGGCTGGCATGGCACACTTGGAATCAAACCCCTGCCCCTGCTGTTGGGTCTGCCTAAACAGGTGCTTTCATCCAGTGAGCTATTTGGCCAACCCCCCTCCTTTTTTTTTTTTTTTTAAGAAGCAAAAACAAAGAAAATACAGGGGATTTTGAAGTTTTTTTTTTTTTTTTTTTTTTTTTTTTTTTTGTAAAGTGAGGACAAGAGACTGAAAAATAGACATATAATTGATTGGTCAACATCAGATTACTTCAGTTTACTTTGTAAGGTTAAAGAATGTAAGGATTAAAGCAGAGGAAACCTCATTGTGGTGCAGATTGAAACTGTCCCGTTTCAGAAGTGTGTCACCTGATTTCTGAAAAGGGCAGGTAACCATTGATGAGTTTGATTATGTGGGACTGTACCATGGGCGACTCCATTTGATTTTTGATCTGGTCTGTTGGGAGCTGGTACAGGAGCCTAACCTGAAACAGTAGCCTCCTGTAATTTTTAACACATGTGTACATATACACATACACAGAATATGTATATAATTACAATACTTAGCACATCCCCTGGTCCTTGGGAAGGACTTCATAAAGAATTTTTGTCAGTGCAGAATTATCTGTGTCCAGGCTGGGGAGATAGCTCAGTAGAAGAAGCACTTCCCTGGCAAGCACAAGGGCCTGAGTTCAATCCCCAATTCCACACACAAAAAATCGCTGTCCAAAGATTCTTTTTTTTTTTATTTTTAATTTTTTTATTTTTGGCAGAACCAGCAAAGAGTCCTTTTGTTTTGTTTTGTTTTTTAAGCGCAAGGGTCCAAGTTCAATCCCCAGTTTCACCAAAAAAAAAAAAAAAAAAGAAAGAAAGAAAAAAGTTTTTTTTTTGTTTTAGTAGTTGTACTGGGTATTGAACCCATGACCTTCACACTGGGCTACCACCTTACAAGCCTGTCTCCCCTCCCCTCCCTTCCCCTCCC